CGTCGCGCGTACGAGAGAGAGAGAGAGAGAGAGAGAGAGAGAGAGAGAGAGAGAAGTAATAACGAGCAATTCGAAAAACAGTGATTTTTGGTTGCACCGGAAGCTGCAAAGCGGCACAGCACAAAGTCGCTACCGATTTACGCTTTCGAGTGAAATGTTTGCACGGCTTGCCAAGCCAGCCGTCACGGAAATGAGCATAATATTTGGCCGCGTAATCAATCAATTAGCGCGGGCAACGAGCATCACTGGCGCGCATTAGTTTACCGCTGACTGGCCACCGCCCCCCGGTTGCGATCAATCGAATAAACAACCCCTCATACGATTCGCTCCACCGCTGCTTCGAGAATCGTGCAAACACTTTGGAGACTGTGTTGCCGCTGGAAACCGCGCCGATCATATCCCAGAATTGTTCCCGAATTGTTTCGCCAAGCGGGGCGAAATTTTCTAACCTCAATTCGAATTCGAAAATAAATTATTTATTTATGTAGATTTTCCAAATTTAACGATATTTAATTTTTATTAAAGGAATAGGAAATCGAAATTATTTTCATTTAAAAAAAGATCAATCGAATTTAAATCCTCGGAATAAAAAAAGATCCTCGGATCAATTAACTTTGAGAATTTGATCTTTGATTCTCTGACAAAACTCGGAGCTTTGAATCGTTGAAAGAAAATTGTCGAATAACAATGAGAGAATCTTTTTCTGTTGATGTTGCAGCTTCTTCAAAGTCCCAGCTTTTTTTACCGCTCCCCGGGTAAAAAGAAATCGATAAAGTCATCGAGATCGTTCATCATCTCGTAGTTCATCGTTTTTGTCCAATGTCAACGTGTTTACTCTCGGCTGTCGGTTCGATGATCGAGCAATAATTGCGACCGATTCGAGGCGCAAATCGTCACGGATGACGGAATACGTACGACCCTTCCCCTAAATTCGGCCTACGTTACAATCCATCGTAAACCAGGGTAGTATTTGCTCTCAAGAGAATTACTTTTGCTCTTGATATCAAATTTGTACTCTCGAGAGTAAAGATCCAATTTGTTTCCACTATTTATGATAAACAAATTTCGTGAATAACGGTGGCTAATTCCTTTCCAAGATTTCGAAAACGAATTGCAAAGATATCTCAATAGGAGATGTCAAAGTCGGATGTCTGCTTTTTTCACTCGCGATTCGAAAACGAACGAATGACGAGCTCCCCATTGAAAAGTAATTGCGTTTGGGACAGAAATACTTGTTTGGTATTCCTGTAATATTGGTTTCGTTCCTTTATTTCTTCGCTTAAGTGCGAAGTGAATATTTATAGAATACGAATACGAATACTCGATCTAAATCATTTCCAGCGAATGTCAATAAAATATCGTATTTATACGATATATACGTTTGAAGACTGGTTTGGATTAGGTAATTTTTTAAGTTTGCAAATTTTTCGATTGGAAAGAAATGAATGGAAGAATACTCGAGAAGTGGTGTCAATATTCAATGATTGACTCGTACTACTATTTGCATACGTATCTTCAAACGTACAAGTATTCGCTGTTGTCTTTTTATTATTCACTTTTCTACCTCTCGAGTATTATATTCTTCATCAATCCTCAACTATCTACACATTCTATCGCACTAACCCAATTCGCAAGCGTATCGAAAACATACTCCATCTCTTCGTTAACAAACAATTAAACCTCTTTCCCCTATCTTTCGCGAATCATTCCAGCAGCAACAATATTTAAAATACTTCTCCAAAGAATCGCAACGAGCGTCCAACCCTCCGCAAGTATACCAGCTCCTCTAACCCCTTCGTCATCTCCCTCTTCCTTTCTCTTTCTCTCTCTCTTTTCTCCAAAACGTTAATTCACGCACGTTTGTTTCTCACGGAGCCGAGGCCTCGCCAAGTCCCTACGCTTTGAAATCCTCCAGTTCGGTGTCCCGCTGGGACATAATAACGCGCACATCCATTCTTTCGCACGGCCGATAACCCAGCCAACCATCCACGAAGAGAAAACCTTGGGCGAATCGTGGACGCCCAAGTTGTGCCGCCTGTTACACCCCCGCCTCCCCCGCAAGGCTTTTCCCTTCCCATTTCCCTCGGCAGTTTGTTATTCCGAAAAGTCTCTTTTTAGCCGTAGAAACTCGACACAGCCGGGGCCGCCGCCGCCGCCGCCACCTCCTCCTCCTCCTCCTCCGCCTTCTCTCACCCCTTCGAGTAACCTCTTTTCTCCGCCTCCCTCTCTCTCGCCTCCTCCCCCTTCTTCCATACCTCTCTCGCCTTGTCGCTTTCTCCTCTCCACCCTCTGCCACCCTGCCTCTTCAGATCCACTCACCCCTTTTTCCTGTGTAGATTTCTACTACCCCGCTTCTACCCTCGCCCGGTTCTCACCCTTCGCTTCCATACAGGCTAACCTTCCTTACGAAGAATGAAATTACCTTCGTTACGCGAAACTCGGTTCGACCCAACCCTCCGATTCTTCTCTCTCT